GTGACTGTGATCGTGACTGTGATCGTGACCGTGACTGTGATCATGACCGTGACTGTGATCATGGCCGTGACTGTGATCATGGCCGTGACTGTGATCATGGCCGTGACTGTGATCATGGCCGTGACTGTGATCGTGCCCGTGGTGTAACAGCGACGCAAGTGAGGGCGTGGAGGAGCATATTGACATCATCTGCGACTCCTGCAACAAGCACATCTGCCTAATGACTCTCTCCGTCTCCTTGTCTGGAAAATGTAGCACGGCATCCTTCAGTTGTTGCAGGATAGCTGCCCCATCCGGCGCTGTCGCACTAGCGTCCTTTTCTTGTTTCTCGTGGGCCCCACACTTTCGTGTGACCGCATAGCTTGCGAGGAATTCCTCTTGCAAACCCTCAAAAAGGTTCATAAGCTCCGTGTCGCTTGTAGGGGCCGGCTCTCGCTTGACCGCCTCGCGTAGCTTCTCCGCAAAGGAAGGTGTCTGCATCTGCGTCGTCATGGCAAGGACGAAGTCATGAACATCCTCCCGCGATAGCAACATGATGGGGTCTCAAGGGAAATCCAAAGGCCTCTCAGAAAGACACAGAGAGAAAACAACAACAGCAAGGGAGAATAATTAAATAAAGTTTCGATGCTGCTGTAGCTTCTCTCACCCCCCCCCTCCCTCCAAAGAAAAGCAAAAACAAACAAACAAGACCGGGGCACTTTGCCATGCGAGGAGACGAGTAGCACAACACACCAAAAATGAAACCATTTGATTTCTGCTTTATTATTATTATTTTTTTTTCTTGTTTATATTTTACTTATTCTTTGGTTCCTCTATTCCTCGACAGCAAACAAGCCTTCGGCTCCTCAAAACACAGTATCCCTTGCTCTTCGATGCATTCACCAACACCGCCAGTGTGTGTCCGTCCACAAACCAGAGCAAGAAGAAAAGTGGGCATTGAACGGAAACAGTGAGGGGAGGGGCCGCCACTGGGAACAACACACACACACACTCGCACACGCACACGGGCGCGGCGGAGCAACGCCGCAAGGAAGCACACAGAGAATGGCAGCGAGAACGTGAAGGGAGTCTAAGTACCACCGCTATGCGATACCATGGGCATTATCAAAGTGTATTCCCGCCCGTTTGCTCAACCATGGCATCAATCACGTCATCATCCTCCATGCCCAGGTCCTGCGGTGTCTTGGACTCGTCGATCGGTGAGCCGTCAAACAAAAAGCGGACACTACTGCGCGAGATGCCCTGCTTCTTGCAGTAGGCGTCAAAGAGTTTCTTAAGCTGCGTCCCGCACTTTATCTTGAAAAACATCTCAGCGCCATCGGCATTAACAACCTTGATAGAGACCAGAGGCGCCTCTGTCTTCACAACCGGATTCTCCCCCGCTTCGCCATTGTTGTTGCTGTTATTGTTTTCATTGGAATGACGGTCCTCCATTCAACAAGACTTACAAACACACGCAAACACGCCTTCGGCTTCTCAAAACACAGTATCCCTTGCTCTTCGATGCATTCACCAACACCGCCAGTGTGTGTCCGTCCACAAACCAGAGCAAGAAGAAAAGTGGGCATTGAACGGAAACAGTGAGGGGAAGGACCGCCACTAGGAAAACACACACACACACACACATATATATATATATATATAAATATATATATAGATTACACACACACACACGTGCACGGCGGAGCAATGCCGCAAGGAAGCACACAGAGAATGACAGCGAGAACGTGAAACAAACTGAAAAACAAGTCAAAAAAACTCCTCCGTGAAACGACAAAAAGGCATAATCAACCCCTCTAGCACACCATATTCCTCCATCCCTTCTTCTTTTTTGCTAGTGTGGTGCACACGCTATGCCAAGCTGGACACAATGGCTTGACTGTGTTGTCAGCGATGGGGCTCATGGAGCCGTCACACCCCTGATATCCATCCCCAGACGACAGCGGCGGTTAAAGCAATATATTTCACCCAGGGCTTGTCCTCCGACAAAATGGTCAAAAAACCGGCGTATGGGATGATGACAAAGACTTTCCCCACGGCGTCCTCCTCCTGCACCCAGTGGTACCCATCAGGGTAAAGCGTGCGGTCATCAAAAGCATTGTTATCGCCCTTTGTAAGAAACAGCCGCGTGCCACCGTCCTCGTGCACACCGTGTACGCGGTGCACTATGGGCACAGTGCGACCAGGAAGGTTAAAGACAACGACATCGCTAATGGACACCTTTGTGATCTTATGCAGCAACAGTAAGTCACCACGGTGGTAGGCCGGCTCCATACTGCCGGAGAGCACCACAACAAGCGGATTAGTGCAGTTCACCAAAACCCCAGTGGCGTGCCACGCCACAAAGAAGGCGCTGAGTGTCAACAAGATCGGCAGAATCCCGCTGATATCGAAAAACATATTCACTGTGACCTTTACATTGCTTGCAAGCTTTCCCATCATACCCATTCGAGAAATCTTCAGTTGCGTCCGCCTGCGCTCGCGCAGTTGATGCAACGCAGTGGTATCGTAGGAAATCGACGCAAAATTCATTGGCACCTTCATCGGAATTATTTTTCACTTTTCGTTTGGCTACCAAAATATCTGTATCACAGGGCCCAAAACACAGAGAGGCACAAGTAGTGGAAGGCATGAGAGAGGAAAAATAAATAAAACCACAGAAAGAAAAAATGGAGGAGGGAAAGACAGAAACCACCACTCGGAAACGAGTGCAGACAGTGGCCCTCACAACTCACCCGGCAGGGGAGCAAAACCGCACGTGTACTTTGGGGCTTTTTAAAAAGGCATGCACGTACGCATGTGCGCATGATGTGTAACTACTGCATCCCACGGACAGCTGTCTTCTCAGTCCTCTTATCCAAATGTCATTCATATTATATATATATATATATATCTTTCCTTCTTTTCATTCCTTTAGAAACAGTCGCCTATATTTTTTATACCCTTTCTTCGTTCCGTGACTTATTTTTTGAGTTTGTTTTTCTTTTTTGGGCTTAACAAAACCCCAAAAAAAAAAAAGGGCACCACGACCCACCCACAAGCACACACACACACATACACACAACTCCCAACCCACTTCTTGCTTCTCTGCTCATGTTGGCACGATAAAAATCTTGCGATCTCCGTTGCCTTCCTCCTCCTCCACGCGTTCAGCTGCTTGCCGCAGGAGACTTTGCCCATCATCGTTGCCCACAGACGCGTAGCTGAGATCACACAGTGTTGCATCCGACCACACTGGCCGCTCCTGCCGCCACGCCGATGAGGTGTTGCGGCGTGGCAGGTGAATGCGCTGCAACGCCTTCAAGAAGTCCACAGCAAGAAAGTCAAGATCACTACTGTGTGTCGTGAAGACGTCAATATACGCGACGGACTGACGAAAGAGACATGAAGTAATGGAGGCAAGACAGAGCATCTTCACGGACGGTGAAGTGTGGAAGCCGCTGTGCCTGTTGCTGTTGCCACCGTGGCTCGCATCCTTCACAAGCTGAAAGAAGAAGGACGAGAGTTGGTTCAACACCACTCGACCAGAGTGCCCGCGTGCGACGCTGTCAAGAAATCGTGTGAGTAGCGCGGACATCAACGCCGGCAGAAGATGTGTTCGCCGCCACAAGACACCAAGCGGGAGAAGTGTGCGTGTGAAGACACGCAGTACTCGAAGAAGCATCGCCTCCTCCAGGTGGTGCTCATCACTCGACCCAACTAGGAGAGCATGAATAAAGCTCAGCTCATGATCGATGAATGCATCGTTTTCATGAAACGCCGGCAGCGGCAGGGCGCAGAGTTCCAACACTTGACACCACAAGGCCTTTGAATCGCTATTGAGCAAGGCATTTGTGCCGCTTGCCACAAGCAAACGTTTAACATCCCCGCGCCACGCACTAAATCGCATATGCGGAACCATGCTTAGCTGGTGCAGGGACTTGCACGCGGCCCTAAGCAACTGTCCATATCGACTCAAACACTGGGCGGCGAATCCGGCAGGAGACGTGAATGATGAGGAAAAGGAACAGGCGATAGAGGATGAGTAAGACGACGGTATGGCCTCATGTAGGAGGGCATGCATATACTCCTGCAGCAGTACGGGGGCCCCATCGGTGGGAAAGGCATGAATAATAGAAGGCATCACACGCATTTGCTGCAACATCCACTGTGTCGCTGCGTCGGTGAGGTACACCGCCTCACGCTGTAGCGCAACAAGTTTGAAACCCTGAGCTCCCCGTCGTCCTCCTGTCATCCACGACTCTGTTGCCACCAGTAACTCATTCATGACCGCATCACATGCACCGTAGTCTTGTCGCGGGTCAAAATTGCTCAGCAGCGCGGCAAGCCAACAATCACATTCCTTCTTGGTGGCATGCCCCTCCTTCCCCGCAACCATGGAGCGCTGTCGTCCTTCCTGCACTAAAAACAACACCCACAGCGCACGGAGTGCAGAATCACTCTCTGAACTGAGCAGCCGCGCGAGTGTGACGAGACTATTCCGACGCGTTTTCTCATCTGTTGGGGCGAAAAGTCGGCATACCTCACCGTACGCGCGTGAAACACCGGGGGAGGCCATTGCTGCAGACGCAAGACTACATCCAAAACGCCGATCTGAATGCTCCTCTTGTTGCTGATCTTGATGTGGCTGCTTCTTAGACCCCTGCGATATTATCGTATAGCCGCGAACCCGCTCGAGTGACATGTAAAGAGCAGTGAAGACATGCAATAAATGCTCATTTGTCTCTGTCGTGATGCTCTGTACTACCTGCAGAAAAAGTTTGCCAAGGAGTTCCATCCACCGTAGCGATACCTCGTGAAGCGGCTGCTCCTCAGCAGTGTCATGATGGCTATTTTTATGCTGCACAGCCTCCCCGTCATCTCTGTAGCAGTCTGAGACTGCAAACGCCGCGACATTTGTTGTTGCCAGCAAACCTTCGCCCTTTGCTTCAGGACGAGGCCGCTTCCGTCTGGGTTCCTCTGCGGACACTTCCTTCGATGCCGCGCGGCCGAGTGCAATCGGGCCATTACTCATAGCGCTGAGAAACGATGACAACGCCGTAAAGTTGCCCGTGTTACAGCAGCACCGGCACATTTCCTCCACGACAGACAAGGCAAAGGTGTGCGCCCGCGACGGGGAAGCTGTCACATTTCTCTCCCCATAGCACACATGGAGCGCTGTTGTGTAAAGCTGTCGCAGTATACCTGCCGCACACGGGGCCATTGCATTGTCTTCGCTGTGACGAATCAACACGACAGCAAATTCCTTGGAAAACATTTGATGGACAAGCAAGTTGCAGACAGCGGCAGTTCTTTTTGTCATCATTTCACTGTCATTCCCTTCAGCCTCCTCCTTATCCTCGGTGTCGCTGCCATCTTCCTGCTCGTTATTCCTCTTGTCAAGCGGGCTAACGTTAATTTCCAGGATGGCGGCTGATGGAATAAATGGCACCCCAATCGCCCGCACAAAGGCATCGTTCACTACCGTGGATTTTTCCCTGCCGGCCTTGCGGCTCGCACGCGATACTACATGAGATTCGTCGGGTCGTAAGAGAATACGACGGAGGAGTGACTGAACACCGTCCTCGCACGAAAGAAAATCCGCGATTAACTGCAGAAGACGACGTTCCAGTAGACATGTTCGCATGCGTTTATTATTCTTCCTATTCATGTTTTCCTCCTCCTCCTCAAGGGTGGTGCTCCCTGTTTGAATAAGCAGCAACCAATGTACGGCGCGCTGCAAAAGTGCAGGCCACTGGGGAATATGTCCGAGGCGACGTAGGACATCGCCCAGGGCGGCACAGAGCTGCAACAACAGTTCCTCCTCCTCAGCTTCTTCCCTGCCGTCCACCTTAGTGTGGTTGTAGCAACAGGCACAAACCTCGTCGTCGGTCACGACCATGATGACTTCACACAGTGCCTCAAGCAGGAATCCAGCACAACTGGTGAGACAACGGGTAAGCCAAGAAGCAGAACGCCATGCGGTGGGAGATGCGGCAAACGTGACGCGCAACAGCCACACAAGCGCTCGACGAACGCGTTTGGGACGACCAAACTGCAAAATACATCCCCATTCCTCCTCAGTAAGGCGATTGGCAAGCTCCAGGGCACGTGCAGTCTCTCCATCAGGCAAGTAACCACCATCACTGACGAAGCGCAAGTGACACAGCACAAAGGTCGTTAATCGTCTGGCTTCTGTTAATGGCTCAACCGCGACGTTCAGGGCCACTGAAACAGACTGTGCGAGCGTGAGACGCTGCAGTACAAGCTGCGGCAGCAAGGTAGCACGATGCACGTACGGTGCGTGACGCATTTGTGTGGTGAAGCTCATCATCGCATCTAGTTCTTCAATAGAAAGTGGACCAACGAGGGCGCCCACATTCGTTTGCACTTGCCACATTGTCTCCTCCATCATCCGTAGATAGGCCTCCACGTTCTGAATACCAAGATCCCGCAGACAAGCAAAGATAAGCTCTCGTGCCTGATAAATGGCATGGAGTGTGTACAGGACAAGACGGCGCAGCATCTTGGGCCGCACGCTACCCTCTCCACCCGCAAAGGGTGATGACGATGACAATGCCTCCACCGAATTTCCTCCTTTTTCGGCCTGCGGCTTTCCGTCTTCCTCCGCCTCTGTTGCCATCCCAGCAAAAAATGTTTTGTGAAGACGGTTCACTAGAAATGCGGAAAGGGTAAGTTCCAACTCCGCGGCACGCTGCAAGAGGGCAATGGCAGTGATGGAGGTGGCCAGAATGCCTTCTATCACTGTTGCCACAACATCAAGAATGAAGAGAACTTTCTGCGGTAGCAACTGCGACAATTTCGTTGACGTGGCTCTTGCTTTCGGGAATTCTTTTCCTGAATCAGCCTCCGCCTCCGCCTCATCCTCATCCTCATCCTCATCCTCTTCAGAGGCCCAGCGGGAGACATACTTCAGCAGATGTATGAGCAACTCCTCCGGATCAAGCGAGACACCACACGCCTGCACAAGAGCCTCCCGCACACGTAGGTTGGAAAATATTTCATGCAATCCTGCCACCATAAGATCCTCTCCGTGCGTGTCCACAGCCTGAATCGTGCCGCCCTCCTTCTTGACATGCGAGACAACGGCATCCAATAGCATTGGAATTTGATTGCTCTTCCCCAGACGAGTCACCAGACTGATGATGAATTCATGCAGCATCATCATATTTGTGGCGAGACCGGCAGCAGAAGTGTTGATGTCACCCTTCATCTTTTGTGACGGAGCCTCCATCGCCACGTGAGCCGCAATACACAGAATCGCAGACACGTTCTGATCAATAACTTGCGGTGCAATTACCTCGTAGGCGAAAAGGCAACGTGTAATGGCTGGCTCCACATACCGTTGCGCCACTTGAGGCTCGCTACGCGCAGTAGGCAGTTGCGGTAACACAACCTTGGCGAAAAGCAGCCCAAGGACCTCGTAACCAAGACCCTTGTTATAGCGAATGTCATGACCGAGGTGAAACACAGCAGGTGTCTCCTCAGCTGCAACTGCAGTACTACGGACCATCTTCATATTATTCGAGAATGATAAAGCTGATGAAGGTGCCGCAGCAGTAATGGTGCTCTGAATGAATGCGTATAACTCACCAATCGTACGCCACGCTAATGTTTGAAGACCAAAACGTTCAAGCATGGCAGCAACGCCAGAGTCACTGGCGGTCCCCATGAATCGTTGTAGTGCAAGTGTGATTTCCTCCAGGAGGATAAGTGGAAGATTTGTATTGCCGTCCTCAGACTGATGAACGTGCAATGGATCCTCAGTGTGAGAAGTTTCGTTGCGGGCTGCGTCAATGACTGAAAGAAACGTACGGTAGGACGTCATGGATGATTTTGACATGGTGGATATCATACTCGCTCGGCTCACGAGTGAAAGTGCACTTTGATGCGAGAGCAGCGATTGCCGTTCGTCCTCATCATCGTCATCCGCCGTGTCGCCACTCACATCACCGCGGCCATCCCTCTTGTAAACATTATCATTATTATCGGTATTATTATTATTATTAGTATTCGTGATGCTGCTGCTGCTGCCGCGTCCAGTAGCATCCACAGCAGAGGACGTGTTGCCAAAGGCCTTTTGTCGCCGCTGCTCCCGTCGATCCCGCCGTGCCTGACTCTCCTTTAACAATACCATGCGGCGTTGCTCCTGAGCAAAGGCTGTCCAGCTTTGTTCCGCGCAGAAGCTATGGTAGTAAAAAGGGATGCTCGCCATCCACTGAACAAGAAGCAGAACAGCATGCTGCTGCTGTTCTTCAGGCAAAGTCGCCACGGAGCGCAGTGTCGCCTCTTCCGTCGGTGGCGTCGTGACGTGCGTGTGAAGTGCATACTCCGCATTGTCGCGCACGTTGTTTTGCATGAGTTTGATCTCGTCCCCGCGGAAATACACCACCAAACGTGTCGCACGATTACACGCCGTGTTGGACACCAGCGAGGCCAACGTGCGCCGGTAACGTGCCACGTCGAGGCAGCAACACGATGCCGGGGACTCCGCCACTACCGCATCAACCAAACTGAGCTTCTGAAAGAGTGTGAAGGGTGCAAGGAGGGCTATTAAACTACCACGGTTTGCGACGGCAGCCCACGCAACCATCCTTGACGTAACAATGGCCTCCTTGTCCTCTTGTACACCAAGGCAGCCAGGACTTCTGTTTGCCACATGCTTCGTTTCCGTGCTTGTCGTCGTTGGGTGTGTGCTCTTTGTCTTCGTGAGGAGCCGGTTAAGCAAGGTTGGACACGGACGAACATCACGAAGCGTATTTAATGGCTGTCGTGCCCGAGCCGTGCGAAGCTGCGATGCGGCTGCGGCCACCAATGCGGTGGCATTGCGGCATAGACCATGCAGTAGGTCGACCTCGGACTCCATATGGTTCGCGTCCACCTGCCGCAGGATGATGGCGATCAAAACAGTGTCGGCAGCTGTCGCAAGAAGATGCGCCAGCGCCTGCGTTACGACAGGCGAGCCGTCGTTGCGATGATGGCAGTGGCGGCCACAGGCCTCCGCGACAGCCTGAAGCAACCCAAGGAGTTCCTCCGCTTCTTCCAAGCGGGAGTTAAAGACTTTGCCAACCAATGCCGCAGAGTCGTCCTCCTTCGTTTGTTTCTTCTTCTGCCCCTTCTCTGATTTCTTCGCCACATGCCGCTGCTCGTCCAAGTGGTGTGCCACCAGCGCCGTGGCAAAACTGATGGCGTACAACAGGGAGTCGCTAATGACAAATATGGGTGCCGGTGTGGCCACCAAGGCCTCTTCAAGACCCTCCGCTCCATGAGCCTGTTTTTTGCCATCCTTATCGTCATCGGTGAGCTGCCTTTTCCTTTCCACCTCTTCTTGCTGCTGCTGCTGTTGCCTGTCGTCCAGTGTCAAGGCTGCTAAGCAGGATCTCCATGTCGGCACATGCGTTAGGGCGTACACGTTGCCACGTTTGGGGTCCTTGAGTGACGACTGTACAAAGTCCTCGACACTGCGGCGCTTCTGGCCAAGTTGGCCATAACGCTCAAGTTTTTGAATGGCTGCACAGGATATCATTCACCCTGCTCCTACCATGTACATACAAAAATAGATAGATAAAGGAAAAGAGACGATGCATGTATGAATGAACAAGCACAGACACATATATATATATATATATATATATATATAGTAGTACGAAGCGACGGGATCCCTTGCAAGCACCACCCCAATTGACCACAACAACTACCACGTGACAAAGAAAAAAACACACACACACGTATATATATATATATATAT